TTGTAAAGCAGAGTCAGCAGCAGAGCAGCAAGTGGGGCTTTTCTGTGGTATAGGATAGTGGATATAAATTGAAAATTGCCCAGCTGTTCAGTAAGACAGGTGTAGGATCTGTCTTTTATATAACGGAACAGAACGGAGATTCCAGTTGCTTGTATTTGTAAATGAGGCAAATAAATCTGCACACTTGTCTGCATGTATATGAGCAGAAATATTTAAAACAAACGAGGTGATCACAGCATTTCCTTGTTAATGTTTGACTAGGCTTATATGATCTTGAACAGAAAACTTGGCATCTGGCTGGGATTGTTGGTTTCTCTCTGGGTGTACTTATATGTATTTGCAGATGGGGAAAGTACAAGCAAGAAAATAACTTGGTGGAAAATGTAGGGTCTGAATTGTTTAAATTATATTTTAAGCCTGATTGCACCCTGGCCCTTGGAACTCCAGGCATGATCCCTTCTAGTAACTAAAATGATTTGAATGTTATGGGGCAAAGTTATATTTAGTTTGTATTTGGAGAAAGAATAACAACCAGGCGCAGGGGGAGGCAGCTGCATTCTCGTCACTTCTTCCCAAGTCACATCCACGGATGTCAAACCCCACCCTTCCCCCTTGGCCAAAATATGAAGAAATTATTCTCTCAAACTATTGGGTTGAGGACAAGGGGGACTGAAGAAAACCTGCCCCCGCTGAATTTGTGTCAAGGTAGGGCTTAACTTATTGTAATAGCTCCTTCTGTTCACTGAGGCTATGAAATCAGCTGCACCCACTCCAGCGTGGTGGGGCTCAGAAGCGCGTTTCTCAGCACTGCCCTGTGGCCATAGGGAGCTGCCTTTACCTAACGGAAAATTGCAAGAGCGGAAACAAGAAACCGTGGTTGTTTTCTCTCCCCACCATTCCCCCTCTCTTCCTGACTATAAAAATGTGCAAAAATCTGTGTCAGCAATTTTGATGGAGTATCTACCTGGGACCTCGCTTTTGGCCCCCTCTCCCATATCCCATGACAAAAAGCTGCAGGAAATAATCTCTGTCTCAAGGAGCATTGGAGGCTGCAGATTCTCAGCATTTAGAAAGGCTGATTTTTTCAAGAATCACTGCCTAATGGCTAGGAAATCTGGGGGAGCATGGTGTAGAGATACCTCCCCCAGGGTTTACACCCACGGCCAGAGAGCACTGCTCTCTCTTGCTCTGTCTTGAAAGGATCCAGCCTGGAGCTTTGGCCCACGAGTGCAGGCACATGGCAATTCACGAGATCCCCCCCCATAGCCAGAAAGATGGTATATATTGGCATTAAAAAAATTGTATTGGTAAATACATGAATTCACAATTTTAACAATCTGATTTAACAAAATGATTTCAGGTTTCAAACCAATCCCTTATGGCATTGCTATCCAGCTCTTGTGGTGTTGCCCTAATGCATAACCCACAAACCAGGCAAGAGCAGCACTACAGCAAGCGACCATAGGGTATTGCTCTCAAAATACATTAGGTCATTTCTGCTCACATACGACACAAAGCTGGAGCCTACGACGGCTGAGACCGTGGTACTGGCTGCGTGCGGAGTAATTGCATCTGCTTTTTAACGCTGCCTTAGAGCACAGAACAGAAGCCAGCAGCGGCAAGGGACGGGAAGTCGGCAGCAGCCAGGGTTCAGCCTGTTTTTACCTCGCTGGCAGCTGTAGGTGAAGCAGCAGGTGCTTTCCTGGGATTTTGCCTCTCTAAGCAGCTGTAGAAACGTATCCAGCTTGCAGGGCCTTGGGCTGTGCCCTGGGCTCTGCTCCCGTGCCACCACACTCAGCTGTGAGCGCACCCGTGTCCCGGCCCCATGGGAGGCAGCCACAAAAGGACCCCCCCAAATCAACACCTTGGGAGACCTGGCAGCTACTGAGCACTCTGCTCTCATGGCCACCTCCCTGGCATATTTTGGGCCAGATCTGCAAGATGGGGAGCTCCCTTCAGTACCAGTGGTGCATATGAAAAATTGGGGTGCTCAATATGTTTTTACTACATCTTTTTGCTCTTTTCTTATAGCAGAAGATGGAACTGCCGTAGAAAAGCCCTGGAAATTAAACTCCAGGGGAACCCGAGTGGTTCTGGGCAGCTTAATGTATGGATTCAGAGGGGGAATACATTTTCATCTGGATTGCGTGGGATTTCTGTGGTATGTCGTGCGAGGCAGCTCTGTGTCAGCAGCACCCACTGCCCAGGGGAAGTTGGAGAAGGACCTTTTTGTAAAACACACTTCCCCCTCTCCGCTGCCTCCCCTCCAAATACTGACAGCGCAGACTGGCGAGATGTGCCAAAGTGTATCTTGACTTGAAGAGCATTCATCCATCACTGTTGCAGTCCCAAGACAGGGCTGTACAGATACGCAGTGAAGTAAGATGCAGTGGATGCCTGTAGAAAGAGAGATAGATGTCCATGATAATATCAACATTTTATTCTTGCTGTAGCCATCTACAGGACGTCCAGCTATTATTGGCTTGCCAGGGCCTCTGAAGCCTCTGGTGTATGTGAAGGCACTGATTCCAGAGAGAGTACTGCTTGCATAGAAAGTTATTAACGCAAAGAGGATAGGTAATAAAATGGGAATATTTACAGCACCAAATGAACAAAAGCAAGGTTTTAGCATCTTTGTCCCGGGGCTATACCTTACTGAGCAGTGCATGCAGCTGTATCTGGCAAAATTCACACCAGGAAAAAGAGCAGGGGGAAATTTTTATTCCTCATCCCGAGAAAGACGCTGGAGGGGCTAATGAAAGGCTGCAAAGGACCACGCTAGTGTTTTTCTTTTCAGGCAGAAAGGCTCTAAGAAACACACCCTTTTCTAAATGTCATAAAAGTCTGCGAATAGATCCTGTGACAGAGAGCGATCCAATAATTCCTCAGAACGAAAGGTCAATCAAAGGAAAATGGCATTTAGTAGGACCAAGCTTACTGCTGACCCAAACATGTGACAGATCCAGAGGCAACTCTGGTGCCATCAGGAGAGCCGCTTGTGCAGCCTGCCCCAACGAGGTACATGACGTGACTGGGAAACTATCTGATTCCTCCAGGTCTCAAAATTCATCAGGAGTCAACCTGAATGTCGGAAGGAAAGGGATTTTGAAGGAGCTACAGCAGGTTTCCAAGTTGGGAGGAGGGTACTCTCTCTCCACTGTCCCTGCTTGCCCTGCACCAGACATTTTCCCCAGCACTAATTATAGATCTGTTTTTGCCATTTGAATATGCATGGAGTAGTACCCTGGCTCACAAGTGGATTGCAATGAAGCTACTCTTAAAGTTTGACTTGCTTTGGTAGGGCTCTAGGTCAGAAAGGACCTATCCAAGGGCCAACCCAAAACATAAACAAGGCCGTGGACTTGTCTGGACATTTCTGCTCGTTTACACTGAGTGAAACACTGCACCATTTAGGGAAATGTAGCAGAATTTGGTGCTGGATCCTCACCTGGTGTTTGTGAATTCTGTTTTGTCAAAGCCGACACAAACAACCCCTCCTGATGGGTGGACTTCCTCTTTAAAAGATTCAGCAACACAACTTGCATCAGATCAGCAGGCAAAGGATATGGGATTATCTTTCCATCCACAGAGCTGATTGGAGGTCTCCCAAGGTGAAGAACATTAACAGTGTGATTTGCAATGCTTAGAAAGACCTGGATAGGCAGGATTTCTCATGATGTTTTGCCAGTTCCCTTGGAGCATGGGAGGGCACTATCACCTCTGAGACGCAGTCCCACAAGGTGTCTGCAGAAGATGTGCAGGGGTGGGTGTTACCTTTGCCAGGGACTGACTTTTTCAGAATAAATGCTCTCAAGACTTTGGGTCTTCAGCAGTTCATCAGAATCTGAGTGTGTCTAAGACCCATTGGTTTGGCCAGGCTCTTAGTTAAAGTAATTAATGAGTTTCAAGCTAGTTCATGACTCTTTTCTCAGCTTGAGCAGCACTTCTGTTCACCAGCAAAGCTGCGAAATTCATGGATGCGATTCAACATGAGTAACTGCGACAGCAGCTCTGTAGTCATTCATGACCTGGACTGTATGTACTGCCTTAGTCATGCTGGGGAAAATTCAGGCAGACATTGGAATAATAGGAATTAGTCATGAGGAAGTGTGATTATGAGCTCTGTAGTTTATCCCTAGTGGGTCCAATCCTGCAAAACACTAGGAAGAGGAATAAAATATGAGGGAACAGTTCCAAATCCCACAAACATCTTGTGGGTTTTGGGTGCAAGTCAGCATCAGCAATCCTTAGCAAAACATTTTGTCCTTGTGCAAGAGCAGGGCACGTATTATCACACCCATTAATAGACTATTCTGGGAAGAGCCTTGCTATTGCAGTTTGTGCGAGGAACTTGTGCAATTAATGAAAAGGCAGAAAAGGCAGATGCAGGAAAAAGACTCTGCTTCAACTTTTTGGAGCCTTGGGAAGAAATTCCAGTTTGAATTCACCTATGAGACCATTCCCATTGTTGGAGTCTTTATGACTTCTTTTTTTCTGAGTGTTAGCCTGTCCAAGTGCATCATGTTATCTTGTGGCAAACAGTGTGTGCACTCTGTGGCATTCCAGGGACACTCTGTGTTGCATGCAATTATCACCTTTTACAATAGAACAAATATTTGTCAGTCACTCCAAACCAGCGGGGTTGCTAAGGCAATTTATAAAAATATTCTCTTTTAGACTATAAGCAAAGTTAACATGTCAGGCTATGCTGTATCTTTTGGTGAAGTGCTACCCAATGAATGCTTTATGTCCAACAACTGCAGGCTTATGCGTCTCAGATAAAGCCCATCTGGTGACTATTAAAGGGAATTACTGTACATTCAACATGAAAGGATTATAACATGGGACGGGGGGGCACTGTTTTGTTTTAAGTACCAGTGCTGTTACTAATTTTGCCTTCAGGATAGGTGTTGAGTTTAAAACAACTGCAGTTGCTTTACCAAATGCAGCTGAACAGTTTGTGTACTGGACTCCTCCTTGCTATAGGAAAATGTGGGTGCTTTGGAAAAACAGACTCAGAACTAGGCTTCCCTGGTGGGTTAGCATGAGCTCCTGATGATGACAAGGCTACAACTTCAGATCTTGCACAGACCAGTATCTCTGTTGTTGTATCCCTCTGTAATTGCCTGCATTTTTAGCCTTGGTTTCCGTAAGCTTTTGGTAAGCACCTTTCACTATATCTCTGTGTAGCAGTCAATGTAATGACCTGATTGATGACTCATCTTTAAATCAGTGCTGTATCAGCGGCAAAAGTAATAACAGCTCTTCCTCTGTCTGCTCTTTCTTAGGCCCCCCAAGGATTGCCGATAAAGTGATTCACCGTCAGTCCGTGAGGCTAGGGAGGACCATCAAGCTCCTGTGCCCGGTGGAGGGTGACCCCCCACCTCTCACCATGTGGATGAAGGATGGACGCACTATCCACAGCGGCTGGACAAGGTTCCGAATCCTTCAGCAAGGGCTGAAAATCAAGGAGGTGGAAAGCGAAGATGCAGGAACCTACATTTGCAAAGCCACCAATGGCTTCGGCAGCACCAATGTGAACTACACCCTCATCGTGATCGGTGAGTAGAGTTGGAGAAAAGCCAGGCCTCACCTGCTTTGGAGGGAGAGAGAGAGCTGATTTCTGTGTAGCTGTCAGTGATTGCAGATTTGCTTTGCTAATCGTTTACTGACCTCTACTCTTAACTGGCCTTTTCCAGTGTTTGAGGATTGCCAGAGCTGGCTATGTTGCTGCACATCTTCTGCTGCAGCCGGCTGCAGGCAGATAAGATTATGCTGTGCCAAAGGTTACAAATAAACAGAAATGATGCAATAGTCACTAGGGTCCAGATCACAATGAATTCCACACAGGAAAGGCTGTGCGATAAGGAGAGGTCACACTGATCTTTATGTTTGCTGTTGGAACAGGATAATTCTCAAAACAAATGTTAAGGCACCCATATAAAAATGGACAGCTGGAAGATCCATGTACTGAGCTTTTGCAAAGCATGGTGTCTTCAGGAGTAATAACATTTAGGTTGAAACAAAGCTCAGAGCTGGCATATGACCCAGGGATGCTCAGTTCCTGAGAAATCCCTTTGGTGGAGGCAGGATTTAAAAAGTGCCATTCAGATGCCATCTTGGTGATCATGGGTTCACTGGCTGTGCTTTTGACCAGTTTCAAACGGCTTGCTTGGGCTGGCAATGGAATTTTGGGGTCGCTTGCTGGGCTGAGCATTCCTGAAGACCCTCAAAGACACTTCTCTGGGTAATCAGAGATTCCTCTGCTGTGGCTGGCACCGAAAAACGCTCATTGTTTCCTTTCAGGGAAAGAGCTGATTGAAAGTCAGCATGCTGGAGGATGCTGAGGGAGCAAAGGGTAGGTTACAAAGAAGGGGTTGAGATCAGGTATCTTGTTCACCCTGTTACCTGATCAGCACCCTAAGTATCTGGTCTACAAAGTTCTATTTCTCTCAGACAGTGGAAGTCAGGACAGAGTTTAGGGCAGTTTCCAGCTGCCTACTGGTTGGCACTTGGCCTGGTTTTATTCTATTTCTTCTTCTTCCCCTTCACAGTAGGAGGGCTACTGTGGACTTAAAGCACGTAGCAAACACTTGGTGCTGCTTGCTGGAGGATTATCACCCGATAACAGGGGGATTCTTGGAGAATGCACTTTGCGGCAGAACCAGTATGGGAAAGAGACCAGAATGTAAATGTCTTGTCAGGAGAGAGATGCTTAGGTGAGGGAAACCCTCTTGTGATATGGCTCCTGTAGCAACAGTGAAATAAAGCCACAAAAAACATCTTACAGTTTACACAGTTTGCCGATTTGGTTTTCCTTGCCCGCCTCTTTGCAGTAGCAAAAAGGGTGAAGTGGAAATAGTCTATAAAGAGTCATGTCTATACAGACTCCTTCTGAATGTGCTTTCCAGACTGTTTGGTGTGGAGAAAGGAATGCTATAGGAGCCTGCTTCAGTCCTGCTTGTGCTTTTGCAGTATATGGAGATTGCCAAAGTCTTTGATCTTCTGTGTCATCCAGTATCTTCTATAAAGCTCAGGGCTCAAGCCAGCTCCCACCATTCCAGGGCAAAGAGGCATTGAGGCATCTGTGAGTCGAAGAAGGCTGTGACTATTCTTGGTAGTACAACAGAAACAAATGAAAGGGAAAAGCCAGGAGGCACAGGGTAAAAGTTGGACTAGAATTCAGGAAAGATTGAGGCAAAAACTCCAATTCAGTTGCTCAGGGAAATTGGATTATCAAATTTAATTGTGTTAAGAACAATAGTGTTCATTATATTTGGCACTGAAAAACCCTGGGCACAAACACTATTTCTTTAGAACCTCATTGGGCAGCTATGGAAGGAAATGGCAAGCTCCTACTGGCCTCTGTGGGTGTGAGATTGAGCCCTATGCAAACAAATATTGATCACCAAGTGCCAAGAAAAGGATAACTTTAAATGCGTGGCAGATATACGGGCTGAGTTATCATTCGTCTCCATGCATCCTTGTTGTAATGCTGGCTAAAACCAGTACTACTTAGACTCTTTGCACCTTCCTTCCTTGCCTCACAGTGTACCCTTGTGCATTGTTGTTGCTCAGACCATTTTTGATGGATTACTTATGCCCCTTGTCTCCAGTGGTACAGATGTGTTCATGTAACGTTTCAAACCAATTGCTTTTCACTAGAACAATTTCCCCTGAAAGCAAATGTTCCCCTAGTGCCTTTCTTGTCAAGGTCTGCAAGTAAACACAAGGTATCACTGACTTATTCTTTCAAAGGACCCAAACATTTAATGCATTGGCCAGATGCTTGTGTTCGTCTTGGTGAAAATGCTTTTGGTTGAGAGCAAATCAATCCTTTGTTGATTTTTGAGAAGGAGGCAGTGTTTTAAAACCAACTACATGTCAGTTTTGAGGCTGAAGATCAAATTGATGGAGCTGTTTTGTTTGTGCTCCGGAAAGCAAAAACTTCATTAGGCAGAGTGGCTTTTTGAACCATATGGCCTCTTTATTCTCCCACTCCTTCAAAGGAGAAAAAGCCCTCTTATTCCAGCTTTACTGCTGACACCAAACATGTAAAACCATGCAGGTGTCGGACGTGGGCAAAGTGGTTAAGCTATTAAATCTAGAATAGCATTAAATGATTCATTAACTGTTGGGACTTGAAAAAATAAAATTCATTTGGACATGAAAACATTCTGGGAATTTAAGCAGTAATATCTGGAATTGATACTGTAGCTTATTGAAAGTTGCTTTTGGTTTTTTTTTTTTAATGCTTTTAGCTGAGCTCTGCCACACCACTGGCAAGTGAGGAAGTGTCACCCCTGTGTTACATACGTGCACACTGCAGGAGGATAAGGTGAAGGTTTACCCAAGATCCTACAGAGAGCTGAGATTAAAATTCAGCAGCCTTGAACCTCTCTGCCTGCATTCAGTACTATATAACTTATTAATCTTAACTCTTACTAGTCTCTGTATTCCATTATAGTGTAGAGAACCAACAAAAATCTGTGACATTGTATGAAGGAATAAAAAGGGCAGTGGATCCACCAGTATCAGTGGGTGCCAGCAGACACGGCAGAGCTGAGCTCCTTTGTCTACGTTGCAGGTTGATCTCTGTGAGATGCAATAATTTTGGTATAAGCCTGTTCAAATGTCACTTTGCAGCTTTCATGACAGAACTTGCTCGCAACCAGCCAGCACGGTGCACGAGCAGAGCAAACTTAGGTCTGCCTCTACACGTCTGGTAGACATACCTACACGTTGCCTGGCTGGAGAACTTCTCAGTCTGCAAGTGCGGATGAGATGGATTACTGTGATTTTACAGATGGTAACTAAGGCAAAGAGAGACCAGGTGATTAGTCCAAGACCACATAAAATATGAGCTGTGGCTCAGAGTTGAGTCTAAACCTCTCAAATCTCACCCTAAAAGATAATTCCTCCTTCATACCACTTGCTAAAGTCTTTTCTTCTTAATTTAGCATCTTCCTGCTGCTGTGTTGGAAGAGAGCCTTCTCTTATTCTAGGTTTTTGATCTTCCTTCTCAGACAAAGGTTTTGCCAACCCAGATGGTAGCAATTGGTTTCTGCCCTGCTTATTTCCCCATCTTCTCAGACTGCAAGGTCTGGATCCCAAAGATCCAAGGAATCCTGCTCCAGTACACCCCTGCATGAAATGTAAGCCAGTAAAAGCAGATAACCAATATAAGTCAAAACTACAATTTCCTCTCCTAGCCAGCCTTAATAGTTTTTGTGGCTTACCACAGGATTTGGAATGCCAATTACACTGCAGACAGATTTACAAATCCTGGAAGGGGAACTTCTCTTTAATCAGTATTAAATCAGCATTGCAGTTATTAAGTACAATGGTTCCTTATTGTGGAGAGTTATCTGTAGCTCATCAAAACAAATGTGCTGTACCTTCCCCAAAAGTTATTTGTACAATGATGCCCATGAAAATCTTACCTTTTTTTCCCAGCTGAGTTGTAATCTACAGGTGTGAAAAGTAACTTTATTTTGGTTTTAGATGCTTGATTGAAACCTGTGGTTTCTTTGCCGCAGAATAAAACTTCCTTGCCAGTGTGCTCTAAAAGGAAGTCTAAGACCAAAGAGGAAGAAACAAAATGTTGAATAGCTGCTCATTATTTGAAAACTGTCCACCTTGTGTGCTGAATGGAGGTATGTTCTGCAGAAAAAAAATAGCATGTGATGGTGTTACTGAAGCCTGTATCAAGCTGTGACCAGCTTGGAGAAACTGTGAGGCTGCACATATGGAGCCATTGTACACTCCAGCCGTCAGGCCCTCCCTGGGAAATCTTAGCCCAAATGGATGAGATTTGCCTGACTTACAAATACCTGAAAACAAAGTCTTCTAACAAGGACTTGCTGGACAACCTCCATTACCATCTCTTTCTGCAATAATAAACAGTATCCCTTGTTTCAGAAATCTGGTCATTCTCTGAAGGGAAAATTGTTGGTGAACAGCTGTAGGAAGGACTATTAGTAAATATTTATGTTGTAGCATAATGACCTCTTTCACTAATGCACAACACAGAGAATGTTTCACTTGCAGAAGTGTTACGGGCCAAATCCCGCAAGGTGTGCCGGCATTGCAACACGTGGGGCTATTGCTACAGGTGCTGCCAGTAAATACTTCATCTTGCATCGTTGCTCAACCAGCTGATGAAAGATCAATCTGTGTCTATTTTTGCATCTGCATTCATGTTTCTTATTACCTTCTATAGCAAAGAAAAAGGAAGCAGCAACAAAAGTAGGGTTTGGGATTGTCTCTGTGGTGTAGACTTCATGCTTAGCTTGGAGTTTGTAAACTGCCAAAGACACATCTTGCTTGGATGCACCTCAACACACACAAAAAATCAACATTTAAGTCCAAGGAACAGCTGCTCCAGTGTCTTTCTTTCTTGCCCTCTATCTCTGACTGCTGCAATTTTTTTTTACCCTCTTCTTTGGGTTTGTTTGGAGGAAGATTTTGGTGAAGAAGCCATCATACATCCAGTTCATACCGCAGTCTGGTGCCTGACCCTCTTAGTGACCAAGCCACTTGGCCCCATTTGAGCTGTGGA